AAAAATTTTAGGAGTCAGCTGTCCACTGTAGTCCTTAAGATATCAGCACAGTAACACTCAGTCAAATTATTGTTATCGATAAAAACCCAGAAAATATCAAGATATAATTTTTTGTCAATATTGCACACCCCTAGCTGCTAGCCGTTCGGTGCAACTGGCAGAGCTGAATGTAAAATTTAACACCGCATACACCATCCTAACCCTCGCCAAAGAAGAGCTTAACTTTAGGTTGATTACAAAAGAAATCTGTCAGTGTTCTTTTCATTTTCTCTCTTCTTCAGCCCTTTCTTTTTCTCACGGTAGTTAGCGGAAAGCGGTGACTGAGAGATTGACAGCTAATATTAACCAATACAAAATCTGCATTAAAGTTAAGAATGTAAGAATAAAATCTGTTATATATAATTTGTAGTTGTGATGCTCATACATTTTTGGTGAGTGCTCCTAAATTTTTGGTGGTGCTCCTAACTTTTTGAAGTTGGGAGCACCAGTGCTACCAAGTAAAAAAGTTAATTTTGAGCCCTGCAATATCACATTTTGTAAAGTAACTTGGTGATCTACAAATACAGGCTGATTCAGAGCTACAATGAAACTATACTTATGACCCATGCAATGTAATATGATGCGTTATGAATAGGGATGCAGCGATTAACCGGTTTCGCGATTAACCGCGCTTTAAAACGTCACGGTTAATTAATCGTAAAGGTTCCGCTAAACCGAGTGTTTCTGTTACACGGAACGGAACTGTTGCAGCTTGCGCAAAACGAAAACAAAGTTACACAAGCAGTGCACCAGCTTAAAATGACGTGCTTATCAGAGGCACGGAGGCTACTACATGCATTAGATTAACTGTGACAGAGGGACCAAACAGCGAAGCTTTATTTCCACCAGAGAAATGCCTGTCGATAGTGTGGGACCATTTTGGGTACACCAAGAATGACCAGGGTGTCATTTAAATATTGCCGTAAAAACTGCTGCTAAAGAGCGAATACATAAGGGATAATGCTACATTAGCTGTACATTGAACGATTTAATGCACAACGTGAAGGCAAGAACCACCTGACGCGAAGCTACAGCTCGTTAGCTCAGCATTCTGCCCGCTTCAGATCAGAAAGAGATGAAATAGTGCGGTAAGATCACATTTATTTGAATTAATTAATTATAACATTTAGCTACTTGAATTAATTATTCGAGGGTCGAGATTATTCGAGAGAGAGAGAGAGAGAGAGAGAGAGGTGACAGTTGCCTGTGTGAATTAGCCTAACTGCGTCTCTCCAGTAGGCTATTTAATCTATTTTATTAATAAAAGTCACGGGGCAGCATTCTCATGAAGTTTGTGTCCTCCTGAATGTTTGAACACGTGCGCAGCGCGATCTCCGATCTCACAAACCAAAATAATAGACATGATTTTCTCAGGCCACATGTAAAATCATATGAATTATTATAAAGATTATTCAAATGAATACGTATGGATGACAGTTGATTACAATAATATACCATTAACATTAAATAATAACATTAAATACTTTTGTGATCTATTTCCATTTGTTATTTTCAAAAGAGAAATACTGTCATGGATGTTTACAGAGCAGAGGTCACCTTTTTTTAATTCCAATGGGAGAGATGGACTTTTGTTTGTCTTTTGTTTATTATTATTTTGTGCTGTATTCTTGGTTACTGTGTTTTTTCTGTTTCAAAAGCCAGCAATAAATAACACTTTAATATCTAAAGAGTGTTCATGTGATTTTATACATTAGTAATGTTGGGAAATGAATAAATGCATAATAATTGTCATAATCGTAAAACCGTGATTATTCCTCAGACAATAATCGTACCAACAAAATCTATAATCGTTGCATCCCTACTCTTTAGAAAGTACTTTTCCTTTCCTTAATTAGGCTATCTGTTCTGTTCTGATTGGGTCATGGACAGTGAGACAACAGCAATGCTAAATGCAAGTGAAATTAATGTAAAATGCAACAAACTATATAATTGTGTATTGTTAGGATAGCATAATAAATAGGCGTGTTGACCTTTAAAAAGGAGATGTATATACTTTCCCATATCGTCGCGTCAAGTGTAGACAGACTTTTAGCGCAGCGGGGCGCGGCAAGACAACTGTCGCCGCGTCCGGTGTGTAGACACGATCCGACAGTGTCTGCTCTATTACAAATAATAATTTATATATAAAAAAAAAAATCCTAAAACAGCGGCATTACAAGATGGAAATATAGACTAGAAAAGATATTTACACTTGCTCTGTCCAACGTCCATGACACTAACTGCGGAGTTGCCAGTTTTAATCTCTTAACTCCGAATGTGCACTTGGATGGTTAGATACATGATGGGCTAGTATAAAAAAATAAAACTTAAGGTCTTTACAGCATTAAGGTAATCCTGTTTTTTTTTTTTTTAATTATCTTGTCTCAGTTACAAATTTGACTGGTAAATGATAAAGAATGATGGCCCCTTTTGCATTGCATTGCATATCAGGGATGACAGATTGATAAAAAGACATGCTATTTATGACTAGATGAAATGAATAAATGCATAATAATTGTCATAATCGTAAAACCGTGATTATTCCTCAGACAATAATCGTACCAACAAAATCTATAATCGTTGCATCCCTACTCTTTAGAAAGTACTTTTCCTTTCCT